GCCAGTTTATATCAAATTCTTATTACGTTGATTTTTTTCAAAACTGAAGTTAGGGTTTGCTCGAAATTTCATGACACATATAGTAGAAACCGAGAGGGGCAGGAGAGATATAATTAACAACTCAAGGTTTACTCCTTCTTCTTCTGGGTTTGAAGATAATTATATTGTACTCCTCCGGTCCTAATTATAAGACCCAATTGACTTATTTGAGGAGATTAAAGAAGTAAGTTAAGTTGGTTATTTATAATAAATAAGTGTTGTCATTCCTAAAATATCCTTGCTAATTAAGTATATTGGCTAAAACTATCATTATTAGAAGGATTATCTTAGAAAAAAATGCATAAATATAAGAGACAAAATGGATTGGGTCTTATAATTAGGACCAAATAAAAAGTCAAATTGGGTCTTATAATAAGGACCGGAGGAGTATTTAAATGTTTACCTGATAAAAAAGACGTTATCTTGAACAAGACATCTAAATTATCAGCTACTAATATTTTGCTCCTGCTTCATGCATGCACGTGTGTGTGTTTGTGTGTGTATACACAGGGTAAAAAAGATCGAGGCTACCAAATTCCCAAGTAAATATTAATATTATGGCCTAGTATGACACATATTTATGTGTGTCTATATTATACAAAGATCTCGTAAAAGTACGTAAACAAACCACACACATACAGATCTATAACGCAGTTAACTTCTGAAAGCTAACTGCTTCTTATTCCAACTCCAGTACATCACACTCATACATCTCGCAGCATGTGTACTACCGTACACCAGGGGATCGAGAAAACACATCTCTCTCCCTCTCTCTCTATATATAGATATGTTTATATGTATAGGCATACACACACACACACACACATGCATCTCAGCCTTGTGTGTGATGAGTTGCTTGATTCACGAGACCGAGAATCCTTTGCCTGCCAAAGTAGCCATATTTGGCAGGATAGGCTCGGTTTCTTCCAGGAAGAGGAGTAGGAAACGAACTGGCCAGTGATGCCAGAGATTTCTGAGCTTGTTCTTCATGATGATGATCATAGTGAGCTCGCACACCAGGACCCATGCGTGGTTCCGCCAGATTTTGCTGAAACTGATGATGATGTTCAGCCATGGCTTCCCTGAGGAAACTAATGATGAGAGACTTCTAGGGTTGGATTTTTTTTTTCCCCTTTCTTTTTGCTTTTGTATGGTCAGTACATATTATGACACAGGAAACACGACCAGGTTTTTATAGTTGCAGCATCTTGCAAGCTTGAAAGGGAAGCTTGGACTAACGTGTCAAACCTAGCTATATGGGAGGTGGAATAATTTTCTTTTTCCTTTCTGTTTTTCTCGCTCAAATACAGTTTGGTTTATCTTTCTGTGGAGAATCAGGTTCCTTTTTTTATATAATGGAGTTGGTCAAGACGTCCGAACATATTTGAATTAATCTTCCCTCTTCCACCAGATGTAATTTTCAAACAAGCATCTTCACCAGAAATAATTGATACAGAATATATCAACAGGATATGGATACATATATACACTTCTTCAATAATTCTCTCCATATTTGGTCGTTAATAAGACATTGTAATGTTGTGCGATTCACGCAACCAAATCCATCTAATGAAATGCATATAGGAGTGCATATTTTTTTTTTCCTTTGTATGTTATGTTCTAAGTTATGTTTGTCTCTTTGCTTTCTGAGTATTTATTATTTTCTCCTTCGTTATTAGTATTTTCTATGCTATGTGTTAGCTTTTCCCCCCATGATATAGATGGAGGGGTCAAATGTTCATGGTCTAAGATCCTTTCATCATCAGAAGCATTCCCACGAAATTTGATAAGTATCACTTTTAGAGATTCCAACTGATCTTATATGCCTTGTAAATTTTATGTTATTAAACAATCTTGAACACGCAAGATGTTATTATGATGCATACGAGCTATTACGTGATTATTTGAGTTACTTTTATTACTTATTTATTTTTTCTAATCATTCCATATGTGGGGATCAAGCTTGAAGTTTATGAAGAGAGAAAAATAATACTTCTTTCATCCTAAATGTAGAACCAGATAATTAATTTAGAGAGAATAGAAAAATACTGTTTTTAATATTTATATTGAAACTACTTTTTTTTTTTGAAAAAAATGTTCGATATGTGCAATAATCAACAAAAATAATTTGGGAAGGATTATGAATTTGACATATAAAATGAATTAAGCTAAGATTTTATATTTGAATTTAGAATCAAAGTAAATTCCTGACTAGCTATCACATTTTAGTTCAGAGGAAGCATAGAGGAAGTATTTAGTAAAAATTATGCTTGATAAATGTTTGTGATAATGTTCAATTTTACATGTATATTACGTAAAATCGTGGCAGAAAACATAGCGTATAAAATCATTATATGAAAAAGGAGGAATAAGCTTTTTTTTGGTTGAATATGGAAAAGAGAAAGACCTAGAGCTAGTGACGCCAAACGAGTGACAAAGACGAGCGATCTAAAGAGTGACGTGAAAGTGATTAATAATTAAAGGAGTAGTTATGAGACCGGGACGACAGATGTCCCAGGAGTAATCTATAGTCTCATCCCATCTTGGTCCCTTTTTTATCCTGATAATCTCGTAATTGTCCCGTCTTGATCTGTTCTAGTTTTAGAGTGTTTGAAATTAGTAAAAAATGTTTTTATATAAATAGAGATAAAACTTTTTTCACATACTTACTTTATATATCGTAAAATTATTTTTAAAATTATAGTTTGATTTTTGTCCAAACAGTCCTTATTTGAAAAATCAGGTGTTATAATTCCCTTCTTCTCTAACACTATTATGCTGATTCTAGTAGATGATATGAGAAAAATCGGGCTTTTGTCTCCTGTTTTGGCTCTTTTTGCCCTCTGATCTTCTTTTTTTAATAGTGATTTATGTTTTGATTCCTGGTTGATAATGTTTTCCATTTTTTTATGAGTTTCGATATTTGGTTTTGTTTCTAATTTCTAGTTTGCTGATACTGTTATTGGTGCTGTTTCCTATAATAAGAATGTATATATTCTCATGTTTTAGTTAGCCATCCAAAAAAACTATCAGAACATAGGTTTGGTAGTTTGTGCTATGACGCCTGGATTTATGGGTATAATTTGATTCTCCTGTGAAGGACAGCGGCCTCTTAAATCAAATCAATGCTTTAGTACGTATTGTCACAATTAATTCACTGCGTGTAAATAGAAAATTTCTCACAAAATTTTCTTAAGGCGTGAAAATATATAGGAGCGAATTTATAACAAAATTCTCATAGATTTTTATGGTATATTAATACTTCTAAAAAAAAATAATTTGAAGAGAAAATCTCGTCTTTAAAAGGGAGAAGGGGGAGGGCAGATGAGCATAAAAATATTGTGGAAAGTTTTTTTTAAAAAAAATTTCAGCTTCAGGAAAATGACAAAAAAAAAGCTGAAAATTATTAAATCCCAAATCAAGTTTAGTAACAATACCTTATTTAGTATTGACAATACTGAATTTGCAAATAACAATAAATTTTATTGACATTTCTTATTTGGTATTTAATAATTTTCAGCTTTTTTCATGTCATTTTCTCTTCAGCTTCTCATTGAATTAATTTGTCGTAGAACTTCCTCGTGAGAAATACAAACACTCTTGGCTGGCAACAAAAAAAATATCTTGGAACATGTATACTGTGCGTATATATACATGTTGGCAACAAAAAAAAAAGAGCATATAACAAACCTGTTTTGTTTTATTTTGATTATATGAGCTACTAATGGATGGATGCTGAACACTGTAAGGTAGTGTTTGGCAATTTGAAACATGAATGGCGGCATATTTCCAGTTTTGCACACTATCTATGTCTACTTTTGTACGTTGAATTTTGATGATTAGTTTTTTCCCTATAAATTTCATGTCTTGGTAATTAAAAAGCGGGAAGAGGAGATATGTATAAACAATAAATTTCAATTACTTCAAACAAGAGAAAATTGCAAAATAAATAGAAGAATTAATGACTTAAACAAAATAAACAGAGTCTAACTAGGTTGGTTTTTAAGTAATGCTTTTTAGGCCTAAATATGCAAGACTATGGCTTAACTTGCCTCCCTCAAGTATATAGATTCAAAAGATTAATGCACCGTTCAAGGCCAAGGCAACATAAAAAGACTACTTTGGGGAAAAAAATTTTGAGGGAGAAATGAGAGATATTTTGTTCCACCACAAAGAATTATTTGATTTTTTCATTTCAAAGAATTTATGCGATATATCAAAGCAATCATTTTGAGGATTTAATCATTCCTAAGAGTGGATTCTTTCTTTTCAATGCAGTCATTTTATTTGGTAATAGTAATAAATATAATAATGAATAGAAAAAAAATAAATGGCATGATATTTGTGTCTTCAGCTTTTAATTTGTTGAATTGGGCCTTGAAAACACATTTGAGCCACTTGAATATGACCATTTTTTTGGGCACTCCTCCAATTGATTAATCTCATGCAAAGTGACAGAACGCAGGTTTGTATCAAAATGTTTCTTCCATTTTACTTATGTATATTAGGTAATTAAGGAAGAAACTTAATTGATAATGGATTAATAATGACAACAAGTCTTATGCTATGACATGGAACATACGATGTTCTTGTACTGTATCAATAACCAAAACTTTATATAGGTTGTTAATTAAAAAATCTTATTCAATAACCTCATCAAACGTTCTCTTTAGTCTTCGTCTATCATTTTTTAAAGGATTTCATGCTGTTTAATCTACTCTCTTCATCAACTCCTTTCTTGATTTTTTTCCGTACATGCCTAAATCATCTCAAATGATTTTTATCATTTTCTTTTTAATAGACATCATGTCTACTCTTTCTTTAATATGATCATATTTTGAATTTTATCTTTTTCTATATGGGTTATCGCACATCCATCTCTAGCTCGGATAAAGAAGAAGGGTTGTGCTCTTACCAAAAAAAAAAGAAGTGTTGTGTTAGGCACTCATAACATATATGTCTACCGAATTTACATCAAGATACAAGGCAATAGCTTAAAAGACAAATATTTAATTTAACTTTACTATCGTCTGCGAGTGAGAGGGAGAGAACTTTTTTTTGGGGGGGGGGGACCTCGTAGAAATAAGTTACAAAACACACAGATATACAGTCTCTAAAAAACCTAGCTGGATCTTATTCTAACAGTATATCACACCCTCACTGCATTTCATAAAACAGTACAATATAATAGGAGAAACACATATCTCTCTCTCTCTCTACATCTATATATGATCATGCATGTGTATACCTATGCATCAAAGTTGAAGATACTTGTAGCGCTTTAACAGACTCAGGTGTGAGCTGTTTGGCTGGTGAGACCGAGCTTCCTTTGGCCGCCATAATAGCTATTTCTGACAGGATAATAAGCGCGGTTCCTTCCAGGAAGAGGAATAGGGAACGAACCCGCTTGTGCTGCTGCAGCTGCAGCCTTCTGAGTTTGATCCTCCTGATGATGTTGTTGAACTCCAACACCAACCAGAGATTCCAGTTTCTTCTGCTGATCAGTCATGGCTTATGCAGAAAATTACTCGCACAGAATTCTATAATATGGTCTGATCGAGAGAGACGACTGAAACTAGGTTGTTCTTTTTGCCTTTCGATGATTTTTGTGTTGCTCTAGATCTTTGTTATACAGGAAGCAGAAGAAGACAAGCCTTTTATAGGTGTAGTCATATAAGCTTCAAAGGGAAGCTTGGACCAACGTGTCTGCCCTACTTGGAGGTTGGAATAATTTTCCTTTTCTTTCTCTCTATCAGATATATATACAGTCCCTTCTACATTTCCACGTGGAAATCAGAATCAGGTTCGTTCCTTTACACTAATGGAGTAGTTCAGGCCGGAATATATCTGAGTTAATCCTCCTCTTGCACTAGAAGTAGCTTTCAAACAAGAGCATCTTCGTCTGAAAAAAGGAGATTGAATATATAAAACATGATATGTTGGATATATGCCCTTTGCTTGATGAGTACTAATTCTCACTGTGGAGTACAAAAAAAATCTTAAATATGAAGTACAGAAAAAATCTTGTTTATCTTTAAGAGTATTGTACAAAGCCATCTTATCTAGGAGTGAGGAAATATATATATATATATATATATATATTTATATATATAAGTACTAATTCCCACTGTGTGTATAATTAATACTACTTCCGGCTTAAATATCCTCCGGTCCTTATTATAAGACCCAATTTGACTTTATTTGGTCCTAATTATAAGACCAATCCATTTTGTCTCTTATATTTATGCATTTTTTCCTAAGATAATCTTTAATAATGATAGTTTAGCCAATATACTTAATTAGTAAGGATATTTTAGGAATGACAACACTTATTTATTATAAATAACAAACTTAACTATTCCTTAATCCTCAATAAGTCAATTGGGTTTATAATTAGAACCGGAGGAGTATATGCATATAAGAGATAGTTGTATATTTGATTTGATTTTAATATAAGATCCTAACTCATTTCGTCTCTAATTTTTTCTCAAGATGATTCTCATAGTGAATATATGCATGTTAAATTATTTTTATTCTAATACACATGGTTAATAAGGACATTTTAGGAAAGATAACATTCATTTATTATAAATAACTAACTTAACTAATTTTCTTAATATTTACAAGTTAGTTATCTAATTGTTATATTAAGAACATGAGGTAGTATTTAGTTTTTATTTTTTTATGTACAATTTTTTTTGTGTGACAGTTGTTATTGTTTCTAGAAGCATAAACAATTTATAAAGTTTGTAATAATGCTCCACCTATTGAATAATTCTCATGTATGTATTGTACAAAACCATGTTATACACTATTTTAGGAATGAGTTTATATGACAAATAAATTATAAATAGTGCAATTTGTTATAAATTTTATGTTATTATCGATTTTGCCTATATCTTATACATAAGATTATTTTTTTGTAATAATCATAAGACATGATATTATTAACTAATTTAAATTTAAATTTGTGCAGACTATTTTTGACAATGTGCAAAAATATTTTTAAAACCAAAGTCATTTGCACATAATTAAAAGTATGTTACATAGACAGTCAAAAAAGATGTAGATATTTTGCATACAATTGAAGAAGAGTTGTGCTCATTAAAAATAACTAGTATACCTACTCAAGTTTAGGTCCTTATTGATAGAAGCTAAGTTTCACCAGATTCCCCTTAAGTTAACTTTTTTTAATAGAAATTTAACAATAATAAGTCAATATTATGGAAACCTAACAATTTTAATACTGTTATTGAGACCTTTATTTTGGAATTTATTATAGTAAGGCTTATAGAAATCTGAAAATAGAAAAGTGAATACATAAGAGGAAGATATCATCCAGGGTGTGGATGTAACTAAAAAATAACTGGATGCACACCAAAAAAAAGAAAAAAAATCAGGTGTTAGATACTTCATAAAAAGAATGCACCTGAGAAAAAAAAAAAGTCGAAGTACTGGATATACCTTTACGAAATAATAAATTAATGATAAAATTGTACATTCATATAATAAATTTAATTAGGTGACTTATATTAAGAAAAAAAAACCTTTTTCTTTGCGCTGCAAATACTTTTTCGGTGTGCATCGTGGTTAATTTGGAAAATAAAGAACTTACCTAACCCACTGCAGAATCCACATTTAGAAAAAGCTTCAATGGTTACAGATATTTAGCACTGAAACAAAGAAAAATTTATTTATTTTTGGCCAAAAAGGAAAATTGATAAATGAGGTTCCTGCAGAATAAATTTTTTGAAAAATTCAATATCCCCATATTTTGGGTACCAATACCAATATCCTCATCAAATAACTTGTAATTTCGGTTCCATTAAGTATATGGGCCCAATTGCTAAATCATTTTGGTTATATTAAACTCGTTAGGCCCAAATCCAATTGCTAGATCAGGTCCGCAATCCAAGTCTAGCTATAATTTTTTTGGGCCAAAAAGTCTAATTATAACTGATTTTGATGTTTGACATGTATAAGAAGTGTTTGGATTTTTTGTTCCAAAAAAACATACGGTCTGTTTGATTTCTTGTTTTAAAAATAATTTTTTGTTTTTAAAAACAAAAATACAAAATTTTTTTTAGCAATTTATTTTTAGTTGATTGTTTTAAAAAAACAAAAAAAAACAATAATATGTGTTTTAAAAACTGAAAAACTAAAAAAAAATTTACATGTTTTTTTTTTGTTTTTTGTTTTAAAAAATTGAAGAAATCTTCTTTTTGTCTGCTCTACTACTTACTTTTTATCACTACTGGTGATAATTATCACTTGTCAAAGTGTAATTTTTTTATTTTTTGTTCAAATATGATTTTTAAAAAATTATTTTCCAAATAAATTTTATAATTTTTTTGTTTTTGGTTTCAAAAACTTGTTCTTAAAAAATTTTATAAAATTGTTTTGAGAATAAGAAAACAAAGAACAAAAACAAATAAGCCCATCGTTTTGACTTTTCAATTTCTATTTTTTCAATTATACCCAGGTTAATTTTATAAATCTAGTACAGCCTACAACCAAATCTATTCTCAATACCATAATTATAAATAAATTTCATTTAAAATATATTTTTCCTATTATTAATTCAAACACCCTAAATCATGTGTAAATCCGCCAGGTAATTATATCTTTTAAGATACTTTATGTTTAATTTAAAATGGTTTGGTTTGAATCAAATCAAGGTCAAAAGCACATGAAAATTATTTGATACTGATACCTACTTATATTGATATTTTACTTAGTAGCTCCAATATATTAATATTTATTTCATTTATAAATTGGATGCGGACTATTATTTTTCACCCTTCACCTATTAAAAGAAACACAGTCATCCATCATACTACTTCCTGTCCTTAATATAAGACATCGTTTGATTTTTATTTTGGTTCTAAAAATAAGACATCAATATGCTCTATCTCTCATATTTATATATTTTTTTCAAGATAGTCTTTTTAATAATAATAGTTCTAACCAATACACTTAATTAGTAAGGATATTTTAGAAAAGAAAACACATATTTATTACAAATAACTAACTTAACTTATTTTCTTAATCTCCTTAAATTAGTCAATTAATTCTTATAATTAGCACCGGAAATAGTATTTATTAATGGTTAGACTCATAACCTCACATTTAAGAAAGATTTAAAAAAATATTCAGTGTCATTGGATCATAAAGTCATGAGAAATTAGATTTAAGCTATACTTACATTAAATAAAATGATCAATTGTTAATTATAAAAATAAGTCATAAATTTTTTTTTTTGCCACATTAGGAAAAAATTATCAACCCTTAACATTATAATCACATAAGCTAGTTTTGAACAACGTGCATAATATTTGATAAAAACTAAAAAGAATGGAAGTTTTGTCGTTATCTTCTGCAATGGAAAACTTTGTACTATCATTGTCTCATAGGCATAGGCAGCCTCCATTTTGCCGGGAACACAATTTATGAATTATGAGGGCTTTTTTTTTTTGTTTGGGGGAATTCTTTTGAAGTTAGTTATGTAACTGATTTTGGAAACGCCACCAGGTCAACCTGCTACTGTTTCACTTTTATTTGATTTATTTAAATTAAAAAGGAAAGATTTCCGTATCTTCCTTTTACAGTAATTTTTTTTTTTAATCGGAACCGTTACTTTCTTTTCACTTTTACTGGCCTTAGAGTTATACGTATCTTTCCCCATATTTATATCATTAACCTTTAATTGAAATAAAATCATGATATATTTTTTCTTTGTAGTTAGAATAAATATCACTCCAACATAATATATGCTCTGCAGAAATCGTTTATTTTAAAATATATAGAAAGTATTGGCCAAAAAAATATATAAAAAGTTGTATGAGATGTATCAAATACGAGAAATATTATTTTATATTTGAAACAATAAAAAAAAATACTAATATATGAAGTTTAGAAACCTTCTGTTTGAAACTAGGAGGCATGAAAAATTAGCTCTATAGTGATGATTTTTCTTTAAAATGTAAAACAAATAGAGTCTTAAAATATTTATAAAATAAAAATTATAAAATTGGAAATTAAATTTGTTGAAAAGAAAGTCCCCAGAGAGCAAGCGCAGCAAAATTGCGTTTGGGGAAGATTAGGGTACACGTACCACCAATAGTCACAAAAACGTATGGTCCGCGCACACTGCGACGTCGTTTCGAAATATCCTGCAGGCCTTAGAATTCGCACGGTTCCGCTCGCGCGTGGATCACCGCGTCAAGCTCTTATTTTCAATGATTATTTTAATTTTAATTCGATTAATTTTTGGCATATTTTCTTTGCTAGCTCTTGCACAGGAAAGTGTGGATGTACCGAAAAGATTTAAAACGCTTCGTTCAATCTCTTCGCTCGTTCTCTGGGTATTTGTCTCTCTCTCCATTCTCTCCCTCCTGTGCACTGAAGAACCATAGAGGAGAGCCCAAAGAGACGCGAAGAGCTCCCTTCTAGAATCTAAATTAGTAATTTGAGCGTGATTCGCACTTCATTTATTGGAAGTAGTAATCTTTTTTATTCCCAATACTGCGAAATTTCGACTTCTTGATGCCCCATTCCTTTCTTGCAATCCAGGAAGCCGAAGATACGAGAACCAGCCGCAACCCAGTTATTGCTATGCAAAGTCAACACCATTGACGGTAGTTATTAGAAAGAAAGTGACCCTTTTCAATTTGGAATTTTCGCCTTTCAAGGAATTGCAATTGTTTTGGGCATTTGTTGAATTTCTGTTATTCGTTTCTGTGGCCATTTGTGTTCTTCACCTTTTCCTCCCTCCAAAGCTCGAAGACATTGAATTTAGGGTTTTCTCCAATGCTACAGAGGAATGTGTCATGGATTCTGATGAGGGTCGGGGTTTCAGAAGCTTTGAGGAGAGTTCATGGAGTATTGTAGACTGCTTGTCGGGCTAAATCTGTCACTAATTTCTAAGGTTTTAGTGCTTTATTTTCTGGATCTTTATTTTTTCGGGTGGTTAAGAGGATTTGATTTTCTTCATAGAGAGTTATTAATTATTATAGCATCAAATCATGATTTAAAAAACTTTATATAGTTTTTTTATTATTCTGTTTACTTTCATTTGGTCAATGCATTTGACCAAATGCAATGACATTTATTGCATGTAGTCCACTGTTTAAAACGCTTGCAAAATCTACTTAGGGATTATTTTGTTGCTTTCTTCTGCAGGTGAAACTATAATTTTGGATACTAAATTGTAAAACTATTTTGTCAAGATGAGATGAGTTACTCAGTTTCATTCTTAAGCGTGAAAAATTGACTCAACTGCAGTTAACACATTTTATCTAATCAAATTTTTGTCTGGGCCTTCTTTCGATTTTCACTTATCTGGCAGAAGATGAGATCAATTACTCAATTGCTTTTTTGACGAGGGGGAACAAAGTAGTTGATTTGATTTAAGCAAAAAAGTGCGCCTAGCTGTCTCAGTTGGCATAGCTTGTGTCTCTTCATGGGTTGAAAGCTCTTGTAACCCATAAGCGATTATTGCTTTCTCTTGCTGGGATTGGCTTTTGTTGGATCCATGGCATTCCCTTGCACCTTTTCCAGGACAGAAAATCATTTTGAATGCTAGGAAATTACAGATTGATTGCTAATTGTTTCATCATTTTGTGCCTGGTTCCGTCTGTCAAAAATATGACAGAGTTGGTTTTAGTGCCTGCTTTTTTGTGGCCCCCTTTTTTTGGCTTTATCTCATTTCCCAAATTTTTATTAAGACTTCTGAGCTAATGAATTTGAAGATGTCTGCTTAAAACTTGTGGTCTGGGGATATCATCTTGTTTTAACAATGCTAGACTTAATTAAAGAGAAATACCATATTGATAATTAAAGCTAATTGGCACCTACTCTCTAAGACAAGCATGTGGTGCTTTTAAGGTTTCAGGCTTCACCCTCAATTTCCTCATTCTTTGATAAAATTAATTTTGGAGTGCTGGCGGATGAGATGGCCAAAATGATAGGATGACAGTTTTTTTTATTATAATTTTCAATTTTTAAAGATGATTTTCGTGAAAAAGTAGTTCATTATGCAATCTTTTCTTTATGTACAGGATCAGAACCATATTGTCTGGCATTGGCTAAGTGTAGCTTGTTTTTTTAGTTCTGGAACGATTTGTATGATGGATGGATTATTTGTTCCTTTGATGCTTTACAGGAATATGGCTCTCCAGAAATATCCTCCATCTGGTGATGCACCCACTGTGAATATGAAACGTTTGACTTTTACCAGTAAGCTGCGTGAGAAGGGTCAGCTGGAGGTGGCAAGTCGGAATCATGCTGTGGATGTGGACGTTGACCTTCGAGAAGTTTATTTTCTCATTATGCATTTTCTTTCTTCCGGGCCATGTCATAGAACTTGTGTTCAATTATGGAATGAGCTTCTTGAGCATCAACTCTTACCTAGAAGGTATCATGCTTGGTATTCAAGGAGTGGGATGCCTAGCGGAGATGAAGATGATAATGGTCTATCATTCCCTTTAAGTTACAATCAGTTGGTGGACAGGTAGTTCGTCCATTTTCTCATTCATGCGCTCATCAGTCTGGTACTTGTGTCTTTTTCTTTTACGTCATTACTGGTGAAAACTGAGAATGCAATAAATGTGTTTCATGTGACTATTTCCCTTTCCTATATGACCTTGTCATTGATGTCAGAAATTATTATTTAGGTATCCTCACATTGAAAAGGATCACTTGGTAAAGCTTTTGAAGCAATTGATATCAAGGGCAACATCCCCATCATTTGGCATGAGTCGTGGAAGTGCTCCTAATGCAGCTGATGTACCTACCCTTCTTGGAACGGGTTCCTTTTCACTTCTGAGTGGTAGGGGACCTTTACTCGCTTCACCTTTGATTGACGTCATATTTACCTTATTCATTCATAAAATTCTTGTTCTGATCTGCAAATTTATTGGTTATCCACTTGAGAACAAAAATGTCTTGCACTGTTAATGTTGCCTTCAATTGAAAATATTTCTTTGCTTCAGATGAGAAGGACAAAACAAATGAAGTCAAACGACAGCGACCTTACATGCGCTGGCCTCATATGAAAGCCAATCAGGTCCAAGGACTTCGTTTAAGGGAAATTGGTGGTGGTTTCACTAGGCACCATCGTGCACCATCTATACGTGCTGCGTGCTATGCCATTGCAAAACCTTCGACCATGGTACAAAAGATGCAAAATATAAAGAGGATGAGAGGGCACCGTAATGCTGTGTATTGTGGTAGGTTATTCTATTTGATACCTAAGTTAAACTTTGTGGTAGGTATCTCTATGATTCTCAATGTTTAGACCCATTGTATTAATTAATAGTTCTTGTACATTTCAAGAGGGAGGAATGCACCTATCCCTTGCTCTTTTCTCTCTTTTTTTCCTGCAGGTATTTTGGTTTGAGCATACGTTTCTTGTCGTCTTCTTAATCCAGCTGTAATTTATATTTGGCAACTGATTTTTTTGTTTTCCACCCCTTCTCAAAAGTATGGATTGTATTTGATTGGGTGTGAATGTTAGAAAATAGACAAAAGCTATTGAAAACAAGGAATTTTTGTCACAACTCAAAGTAGTGTTCCAAAGATATGGTTTTTTATTAATTTAAATAACATTTTATGGTTATCTGAATTGTAAAAGGTCTACATATAATTCCTGATTTTTGTCGTTGTTTGGAAGTGGGATTTGACTTGTATAGACTGAAGGCCTTAGAAAGCCCAATTTTAAATGAAACATAAAAATTTCCAGTTTTTGTATATCAATGAGAGAGTATGAGTGTCCTTGTGACACATTCCTTTGCTTGTTTATTGGTTTGTTCTGAGCTCTGCAAGATATTTGATGAATCTGTTTTTATGCGTTGCTGTCAGAAACATTGTTCTGATCATCAAAAGCTTTATTGCTTTGGTTGTTTCACTAATGCCTTCATATTGAATAAACAATTTTTTTGGCTTCTTCCTATATGTCTAGAAAAGCCATGAAGAACGTTTCCATTTCTTCTCTCCTTTTTCTTTGGGCAACAGTTTCTTCAAATTTTTGTTATTGTCTGCTCTGAACGACAAAGATTTAGTGAGGAATTGTTACATGCTCCTGGAATGAAATCTCATTTGAGAGCATCTAATAATTTTTTGGGATAGTATTCTTAGTAGAAACATTCTACTTTTTTGGATGGTTAAGTCTTCTTGTAGTTATTGTTTCTGTAGCTGCTTCCTTGAATTCCTGTGCTTTAAGAGAGCAAGCTATTTTTCTCCTAGATTTGCAGCTGATGATTTGCCTTAACATGCATGCAGCTACATTTGACCGGTCTGGGAGGTATGTTATTACGGGTTCAGATGATCGACTTGTGAAAATTTGGTCAATGGAAACTGCATATTGTTTGGCTAGTTGTCGTGGACATGATGTGAGTTTGTTTTGTGCAGTAAATATGTTTTCCCCTGTTTGACCAGATTTGATTTGCTTTAACGTCTGTTAAATTTAAATTATGATGTGTTTGGTAGGGGGATATCACTGACTTAGCTGTCAGTTCAAACAATGCCTTAGTTGCATCCTCTTCAAATGACTGTATCATACGAGTTGTAAGCTCTCTTTGACTCATACAACAAGTTTTTGTGTTCCTTATCTTCTCATTTTTGCCTTGGCTCTTTCATGATACCCTAATATGTTGTTGATTTTTGTTTCCATAGTGGCGCTTGCCTGATGGCCTACCAATATCAGTTTTGCGTGGTCATACTGGAGCAGTTACTGCTATAGCATTTAGTCCTAGACCTAGTGCTGTGTACCAACTTTTATCGTAAGTCATTGGATTAACAAAGAAAGAAAATGAATTTACTATGTTGTCTAATATATAAGCCTTTTTTTTTTGCTAGCTAATATATAAGCAATTTATTTATTACAATATTCTATTTTTACAAATAACCTCTATAATGTTGAATGCAGCAAGATAATTATGAATCATAAATTTTTTTTAAGTAAGAAGACTGTAAACCAGAACTGACATATCAGGCCAGAAGTATGACAGTTTCTAAGTGCATGTTTGGGATGGCGTTACTAAGCCTCTTAAATCACCTAGGACCAAAAAAAGAAAAAAACAAAGGCTAGTTGGATAATGATGTTTGGCATGGCTTTGAGGGCAAATGACTTTTTGCCCAAAAGCCACTTTTAAATTAAAGTAACTTTTTCTGGCTTTTTGGCTCTTGGCTCTTGGCTTTTTTAAAGATTTGAACCGTTGGAAACTGATTTTCAATATATCATCCAAACTAACTTTAACGTTGGCTTTTGACTTTTTTAATAAAATCCTATCCAAATATAAATTACATTATCACTAATTGACTTTTATTCTAATTTTAGTTTGCAAAAGTTAGTTAGGATGAAATTCACTTTTGTAAACGGTAATCCAAACAAGCCCTAAGCATTTACTAAAAGACATGCTTTCTTCTATATTTTGATTATGTCAAACTTGTGATCATGTGCCCCACTTGTTTCTGCATTCCCTTCTGACCTACAATATAACTGTTCAGAAAATACTTGAGGCAAATTTCTGCAAAAGGTCACTGATAATTTATATTAGTTTTATTTGAGATGTAATTTGCTAATTGTAGATTAAGGAATCCATCGACTGATATGGAGTTTTGCTTTCATTTTTAAATGCGTTTTGAAGTTTACCGTGTTAGATGATGATATAAGGATTATTTTTAATCGCATCATCAGGCTAAAAATTTACGCATTCCTTATCCTTCTTTTTAGGTCTTCAAGGTTCTGTGTGTATCAATTTTTGTGCTTTGTTTCTTTTAACTTGCAGGTCATCTGACGATGGAACTTGTAGAATTTGGGATGCAAGGCATTCCCAATCAAATCCGCGAATATATGTCCCAAGGCCTTCTGATTCTGTTATTGGTCAGTTTGTTCTTTTGCGTTCTATAATTTTTTGACTTCTCTCTGGTTCGAATGACTGACTTGGGATATCTGTTGGCTTAGGGAGGAGCAGTGGCCCATCTTCAAGTAATTTTCCACAGAGCCATCAGATTTTTTGTTGTGCATTTAATGCTAGTGGAACTGTCTTTGTCACTGGGAGTTCTGACAATCTTGCCAGGGTATGTATGTAATTTTCTTTCCATAGGATTTTCCTTCTGTTTTTAGTTCTGCTTATATTTGAGTCCTCTGGTATTTGTGGTCTTAGGAATGATGACTTTATAAGTAGAGATGGATTCTTCCACTTGTATCAGTAGTTGCTTTTGTGTTGAGGCTTGTTCGTTCCTTGTATAGGGAATTCGTATTCCTCTGGAATCATCATCTCCATCAATGAACACTATTTAATCTGCGGTCACCCTTCATTTATAATTACATACCTCCATTCATTATTGACAAATTGGTGGGTTTTTGCTGGTTGTTGACATCCTTCATCTAGGTGCTTGGTTTGTTTTTTTATCTTTTACAAATGGAAGATAATTAAACGCAAAAGGTGCCCATAAAGCATTACAGCCCTATAACATCTCAAGGTGAGAGGCATTAGAACAGCAGAATGATGCAAGACGCTAAAATAGGAATAACAGCTAAAACTATGATATATGTGAAGAACTCTTATGGTTCTGAATTGATTATATTCGAATGAAGCAGTGGAATATAAATAGGTTACAGCAGCCTCATCTAGATGAGGGTAGAAGGCCGAAATCTTAGGGATAGGCCGAAATCCTAGGAAAATAAAAAAGATACAGGTTTGAATGATAAAACAGAATAATATCCCTAAATCCTAGATTACATCTGAAACTTAAATTGCAATAACTAACCCTAATTAGGGTTTTAGGCCGCAACACTAATTAGGGTTAGGGTTTTGAGGCCCATGGCCCAATCTTTACTAACACTCCCCCTCAAGTTGGCAAGTAGATATCTAGCATGCCCAGCTTGTCTCTGAAGTTTTCAAACTTGGATCGTTCCAAGGGCTTTGTAAGAACATCAGCTACTTGAAATGAGGTTTTTATGTGTGAAAGATCAATAATATTTGATTCAATCTTCTCCTTTATAAGTGTCTATCAATGTCCACATGTTTAATCCTGTCATGATGAATTGGGTTGTGAATCATCTAAATTGCAGACATGCTGTCACACCATAGTTTAATAGGCACATCAATAGTGAATTTAAGTTCTCTTAATACTCGGATAATCCACATGCCTTCACAAACACCGTTAGCTAGGCTCTTAGTTCAGCTTCTGCGCTGTTTCTTGAGACTGCGGTTTGTTTCTTGCTTCTCCAAGTTGCAAGGTTGCCCCCAACCAAAGGTAAAGTGGGCCCCTGTCGATCTTCTATCAACACGTGTTCTTCCATGATCTGCATCGATATATACCACTATATTATTTGACGCTCCCTTTTTGAAGAAAATTCCTCTTCCTGGTATCATCTTTAAGTACCTGAGTATTGTATAAATGGCTTCCATATGATGTTCCTGTGGTTGTGCCGAGAATTGGCTAACCACTCCCACTACATAACTTATATTAGGTCTAGTATGAGACAAGTAAATAAGTTTTCCCACCAGTCATTTGTACCTTTCTGCAGGAACTGCCACGCCATCCTTCTTGAATTCTAGGCTAACAGACAGATCCATAGGAATTGGTGAAGGTTTAGCTCCAAGCATGTGTTTTTCCTTAAGCAAATCAAGTGTGTACTTTCTTTATGAGATAGAAATGCCTTCTTTTGATCTAGCAATTTCCATTCCAAAAAAGTACCTTAGCTGTCCGAGGTCTTTAACCTCAAATGTAGTGGCTAGACTCTTTTTCAACCTTTCTATCTCTCTAAAATCATCTCCAGTTATCACAATATCATCAACATATACAATTAAAATAGCAACTTTCATACCTAAATGCTTGACAAACAGTGTATGATCAGATTGACATTGAATATAACCTCAACTCTTCACCACCTTTGTAAATCTATCAAACCATGCTCTTGGGGATTGCTTGAGACCATAAAGAGACTTATATGCAAGCCTTATTGAGATTTTCATATTCTGCTAGCCCTTTAGGGATCCTCATATAAACTTCTTCTTCAAGGTCTCCATTTAGAAATGCATTTTTCACATCTAGCTGGTGTAATGGCCAATCAAGGTTGGCGGCTAGGGATAATAATATTCGAATGGTGTTCAATTTTGTCACTGGTGCAAATGTTTCTTGGTAATCAATACCTTGAGTTTGGGAGAATCCTTTTGTGACAAGTCTGGCTTTGAACTTGTTTATAGATCCATTTGAATTGTATTTTATTGTAAAGACCCACTTGCATCTTGCAACTTTCTTTCCTGGTGGTATCTGAACTATACTCCACGTTTTATTCTTTTCTAGAGTCTTGAGCTATTCCCCAATAGCAATTTTCCACCTTGGATCTTTGACGGCATCATCAAAATGGGAAGGAACTTTCTCCTCTTCAAGTTTAGTCACAAAACTTTTTATACAAGTAGATAGCTTGTCATAAGAAACAAAATGACTAATAGGATGTATGGTACATTGTCTTACCCCTTTTCTAAGTGCAATTGGCTAGCCCAAATCATCAGGAACTGTAGATTGGGTTGAGTCTTGACTCTGCCGTGACTCATGAAGATCCCTACTGTTTTAAGTGACTTCTTCCTCTTCAGTATGCTCTGTTTTAGTCTCAAATTCCTCCATTATATTGTTTGACAAGGCGTCGTTAGGCACTATTCTAGGTTCAAATGGAGGGGATGGTGATTCTGGGTTAGATTCTGGAGTGGAAACAGATTTAGGTTCAGTGAGGCTTGTGATTTCAAGATGTGGGGAGCTTGGGTCAGGTTCGAGTGAATCTGTAAAGTTAGGATTAGGTTCAGGTTCGATAGTATTGGGTTCTGGTGTAATATTAGACTAATCAAGGTGCAAAGGCTCCCATTCCCCCATGTTCTCCCTATGAATGGGAGAATTAGTATAATAGGCTTGATCCACAACAAATTTAACATCCATGGTAACAAAGTATTTGTGAAGTGAGGGAGAGTAGCACTAGTGGCCCTTTTGTGATGGTGCATATCCTAAAAATAGAAATTTAATGGCTTGGGTTTCAAGTTTGCCTCCTTTGTGATAGACATAGGCTAAGCATCCAAAAACTTTCAAAGGAAGATTGTTGGCCAGTAAAGTGTTTGGGTAGGTTTGTGTAAGAAGGTCCATTGGTGTCTTAAAGTTGAGGGTTTTAGAGGGTAGTCTATTAATAAGATGCACGGCTGTGAGGACAGTTTCTCCCCAATATTGTTTGGGAATAGTGTGAGTGAACATGAGGGCTCGAGTGACTTCTAAGATGTGTCTGTTTTTGCGTTCTGCTGTTCCATTCTGTTGAGGGGTATTAACACAGTTGGTTTGGTGAACTATGCCATGGTCTTGGAGATAATTTAAGAGGTGTTGGCTTAGATATTCTCAGCCATTATCACTGCGAGGAGTTAAGATTTGGGTCTGAAATTGTGTTTCAATCATCTTGTGAAATTTGATAAAAATAGAAGGCAAATAAGATTTTTCTTTCATAAGGAACACTCATGTGAGGGGAGTGTGATCATCAATAAAAGTAACAAACCATTTAACGTGGGATAAGGAGGGAATTTGAGTAGGTCCCCAAATGTCACTATGAATTAGATGAAAAGGTTTTGAAAATTGATGAGACTGGGGTTGGTAGGTTGCTTTGATTTGTTTTGCACATTGACAAATATCACAAATGAAAAAGTTATCACTTTTATTCATAAGATAAGGAAATAGCTTTGACATGTGATGAAAACTGGGATGACCTGGTCTACAGTGCCATAACAATGCCTCTTTATTTTCACATCTAGTGATAATGATAAAGAAAACTTCACAGCATTTGAAATAAGATTTCAGCGAACCATCTTGCACCTCTAAACAGTAGAGATCTTCTAGAATCTTAGCAGTGCCAATCATCTTCCTTCTCTCCAGATCCTGAAAATAACATTCAGTAGACGTGAAATAAACACCACGTTTCTGACTGTGAGTTATAGTTTTCACAGATAACAAGCTGCATTTTAAACCAGGGGTATAGAAAACATTATACAAAACAATTTCAGGTGTTATATATGCTGTTCCTAGTCCCTTGACTTCCAAGGCTTTCCCATCTGCCACTTTTACAAATATATTAAAAGGACAAGGCTTTATATCTGTCAACAATTGAAACTCCAGTCATATGGTCAATAGCTCCGGAATCCACAATCCACAATCTTCTATGATGCACTTCAGTTTTAAGAGCTAGTATTGTTTTACTTGTGTGGGCTATATACCCAGCTGCAATTGTACTCTCTTGAGAATCATGTTTCTCTCGGAATCTTCTAGGTAGATCTAATTCTTCTTTGGTGAAATCTAATTCTCTTTTCCCTTCAATAGATCCTGCATATCCTCGGCCTTATTGCTTTCCTCTCTTTGGAGGTTTTCCATTCAGCTTCCAACAAATCTCTCTTGTGTGACCTTTCTTTTTGTAATAATCACACCAGCTATTCTGTTTCTTATTGTCATCATGAGTTGAGCCTTTGGAAATTAGGGCATTCAGTAGGCTTGTCATTGGAATTGTCACTGTTCACCAATTCCTTTCTGCTTTCTTCACTTCTCACAATGAAAAAGACTTCATAGAGAGAGGGCAGTTCTTCAAGTCCCATTATTCTCCCACGAACTTCTTCAAAGGATGCATCTAATCCAAGAAGAAATTTGAAAACCCTTTTTTCTTTAATTTTTGTATATATTGCAGCATCACCAACACACTTCCAAGCATGTGCCTCATAAGAATCAAGTTGCTGCCATCTGACAACTAATTCAGTGTAGTGCTGAGTCACTGAAAGGTTGCCTTTCTTGAAATCATGTAAAAATCGTTCAATTTCAATGATGGCAGCATTGTTTTTAACAGCAGCAAGCATATCTTTGGCTGCATCCCATACTTCTCGTGCTGTTGGAAAGAAAGAGAAGTGTGCACTGATTTCTGTAGTCATAGAGTTAATAAGCCACGATTGCACCATTGAGTTTTCAACTTCCCAATTTGCATATTTTTCATCTGTGGTTGTCAGTTGTTTTGCAGCTCCAGTAAGGTATCCATATTTGCCTCTACCCATGACAAACAACCGCACACTAGCCGCCCATTGTAGGTAATTCTCGCCATTGAGGCAATGAATGGTAATAGAGGAAGGATGGTTCTCCGATGCACTAGGGTTACTGGTCACATTGGTCGCCAAACTAGTAGGGTTTATTTGGCCTTCATGAGGCAAGCCCATACCAAATCTAATCATGATGCTCTGATACCATGAAGAACTCTTATGGTTCTGAATTGATTTTATTCGAATGAAGCAATGGAACATAAATAGGTTACAGCAGCCTCATCTTGATGAGGGTAGAAGGCTGAAATCTTAGGGATAGGCCGAAATCCTAGAAAAATGAAAAAGATACAGGTTTGAATGATAAAACAGAATAATATCCCTAAATCCTAGATTACATCTGAAACTTAAATTGCAATAACTAACCCTAATTAGGGTTTTAGGCCGCAACACTAATTAGGGTTGGGGTTTTGGGGCCCATGGCCCAATCTTTACTGACAATATGAATAGAAAACAAGTATGAACTATGGTGATAACATTTGATACAAGGATTGACCATTTGAGCATAATAATCATATAAAACAATCAGCTGTTCAGGTCACCGAATACTTATTTTAAAGTGATGTCTAATAACCCTAATAATAAATTTTTTTTTTTTTAATTTAATGAACAATATGCTGTTTTAAGAGGCTGGGATTTGTGTTTTTCCTATGCTTAAAATATAAAACCTGATAGTTATGGGTTATTGGTTGGGCTTTAAGGCTGTACATCTATATGAAATAAACTGTGTCTATTAGCTTCCTGAAGTGAGCACTTGGATCAAAGTCCCTTGCCCCAAATAGCAAGAGGTGTTGAGGCTTGGTGCCTAAGGCACTGGGGCGCGTGCCTTTGACTTTACTGGTCAAATGATAATCAATGTTTCAACAGGTTAATAGTTGATTGCATGTAGAAAACAGTACAGTTGTCTCAGTTACTCTGAAATTACCTTTAAGGAGTTTTGGATCTCTTTCAGTTTGAGAGATGATCTAGCTGTAACAAGAGATAATGTTGTCTGAATTTTAGAACAGCTAATTTTCATCTTCACATTCAAATATTTGAAACTAAATATTGAATGTTTTGCAGGTATGGAATGCCTGTAAACCAAGCCCGGATGATTCTGACCAACCAAATTATGAGATAGATGTGTTATCAGGGCACGAAAATGATGTTAATTATGTCCAATTCAGGTTAGCATGTGTAAGGGTATTGTAAACTGTGGCAAAGGAATGTCTTCATGCTCATTCTCTCACACCATTCTTTGCAGTGGATGTGCAGTTGCTTCTCGATTCTCCACGGCAGACACTTGCAGAGAGGATAATATTCCCAAATTTAAGAATTCCTGGTGAGTTTCTATAACTTGTAATAAAAGTAGATTGATTAATGCTCTAGCCCCTGGCTACCTTTAAGAAATTTCTTTAACGCCAAATATTTGGTAATATTTAGCATATCTAACATCTAAGAGCCAATATGATATTCCAGGTTCAATCATGACAATATAGTTACATGCTCTCGTGATGGGAGTGCTATTATATGGATTTCCAAATCTCGCAAGTCACATGTAAGTAGTCATCAAATGTGTTCTTCAAGTATTGCTTTCTAGTAGGTTTTTTTTTTTTTTTTTTAAGTGAGAGTTGTCTTGCGCCCTTTATAACAAAATACAAATACTAATTTGTTTATCTGATGTTTAACAAGATTCCCCTTTTTCATTGGACTTGTATTGAATAAATTTAGGGGAAAACTTGTCGATGGACACGGGCATATCATCTTAGGGTTCCACCACCTCCAATGCCTCCTCAACCTCAGAGAGGGGGTCCTCGTCAGCGAATATTACCAACTCCACGTGGTGTAAATATGATTATTTGGAGCCTAGACAACCGTTTTGTTCTGGCAGCTATCATGGGTAAGTTCTTGTTTCTTTCTCTTGTCTTTTTCTCCTCAATCCATACTTTCTCGCTATCTTTCTTTATGTCTTATTGTGATCATTCTGTTTCTTTAAGTTTTCCCTGTACTGGTGACCTTGGATGATACGGTTCTTTTGTTAGGAAGTATTTAACTGGAAAAAAGGTAATCATTTTACTTAATGAGAGAGGATGGAGGATGATTGCTGTATGTCATATTCCTGAATGGTCGGAAAAAACCTTAAAGGATTGGCCAGGGTCTGCTACAAGTCTTATAGGATTTAGGGTAGCAACAAGTCTGCTACTCAATTCCATAAATCTAAGAGATTTTAGGAGGTAATGAAATAGATAACCACTGGTAATCATATCTCCTAAAATCAACGTATGATATCAGAACAATTAAGTTAAATCTTAACAGCAAAATATTCTATAAGATTAGCTAGAATTGTATCTCCTGAGGCTCTTCATGTCTGTTGCTTCTTGATTCTGTCTAATAATATCTTTAATGAGTTCTGCAAACTCCAAACCACATGCTTCAGAAGACTCCAATATTTCTTTTGTCTTTCGTGCATTTAGCCAGTTGACCTTTATCTTTGCTTTGTTACGCTAGGAGTTTTCCCCACTAAAATTGATATCAAACATTGCTGTCTCACCATTCAATTAAAATGTCATTTATTTTGTTAACATCATTAGATTCTTTTTTTTTTTTTTTTTTTTTGGGGTTGGCTGGCTCATGATATTTGTTCTTTAATTTTCTGTTTATAGTAGAGGGCTTCTGTCATAAAGATCACATAATGCAAGTAATGTGGCCTTAATTTTCATGTATACTTATCGGTTAGTTCATTTTGGGTAAGCCACATTTACAGCAGGTTAAATATAGTCGTTTTCCTTTAAACTTTTATTTTATGCATGTAATATAATGGCAATGTATGAATTATTTTCCTGTTAACGTTATTAAATAGTCATTTCATCCATGATGCCTTAATTTGTAATCATAGCACTCTTATTTATATGTTAGATGACGGTCATTTTTATTCTCGTTGTGTCATTGGAGGTAATAGTCTGATTACAACATGTATTTGCAGATTGCAGAATTTGTGTTTGGAATGCTTCTGATGGCAGCTTAGTGCACTCCTTGACTGGACATACTGAATCCGTAAGTGCTTAGATTACAGTTGCCATGGATCTGACACTGTTGTTGGCACCAATCTTTTGGTCTTCAAACGTCTGTAAATTCTTGCCCTAGTTGTTTGACTGGGCCATATTATGTTAATGCATTAGTTGAACTTCAAGTTTAAGCTACTAAGCAATTTCCATTGAATGCTTATAATACGGGTATGCTAGGTTGAAAGAGGGGCTTTATTGAGGTGATATTTCCAAATTCATAATGTTATCTTTTTGCCCTTGCATCTGTATTGTAGATTTAAATCCTCTACATTTTTCAAAGGAGATGCACTCCACGCTTTTCCATTCAATGCTGTGTTTCAACTAATTCAATAATTAATTAATACTCTGATAGAAAACAACTTGGGACTTCCAAAATCAAACACTATCATATGACAGGACTTGTTTAACTTAGATTATAGAAATGTAAGGTTCACATACAAATTTCATGTTACAACATTTTTCTTCCCTGTCCATTGCTCTTGTTTTGCCAATATACTTTGTCTAACTTAGGAAAAGCAATTCCAATCAGAAAATAACATTTGTTTTCTAAATAAATTATTCAGTGAGGCTGACTTATTCTTCATTAAATAAATTGAGTTTGTTGTGTCAGAAATTAATCATATTTTTGGTTTCCTGTTCCTTGTAATATTGATATTCAGACTTTAGAGTTGCTTTATATGCATTAATAAGCCAAACCTAATCAAATCAAAACACTAGAAATACTGATAAGGCATTGAATCTTGAAAGAATCGAAGTGCAATATTTCTGAAAGCAACTGAATCTGTAAGACCCATGCAAAATGGTATATACCTTGTTGGCTTCTTGGAAGAATACCTGAGTCATCAATCAGTTTAACTTCTTGGATCCAAATTTTCATAACCATTTTCAAGCACAAGGTGTTACTGGCCTTGTCTGAATCTGGAAGAAAGATGACAGCAAGGATAGATCTGGCAGATGAAGGGCGTGATGGACAGAGCTGAGTTTTGAATTGATTGAAAGTGGTGGAAATGGTGGTGCATGTTGCTGTATGTTTCAAATGGAAGAGGGGAACTTTGAGATTTGGGTTTCAGATGTTGAAGCATGAGGTAGAAGAGAAACTGAAGACAATGATTTAACAGAATCATTGGCTGAGATTTCACATGGTAAAATGACGCAGTTTAATCGAAACGAGTGGTGTGCATCTCCCAAGCAAATTTTAGATGATTTAGGCACTCATTGCATATTAATTCACTTTTAAGCTGTGTATTTGACTGCTATCTTGTTTTATATTCATTAATTGCTAAATTTATTCTCTTGATTTTAAGCAAATTAGAGGATGGAAAAGATTTGATGATTTCTTAATATTTTTACTCTTGATTTAATTTGCTTTTCTACTTTGATGCTTTGCTGATGCTAGACATATGTTCTGGATGTTCATCCATTCAATCCCCGGATAGCTATGAGTGCTGGATATGATGGAAGAACCATTGTGTGGGATGTGAGTCAACAGTTACTTTTATTCTTGTAGATTCTTACGCAACTTTATATTTTATTAAATATCTCCGTATCATGTGACTTTAAGATATGGGAAGGCAAGCCTATTCGGATATACGAGATGTCGCGTTTCAAGCTGGTTGATGGAAAATTTTCCCCGTAAGTATCTTGATAGTGCTATAATAGAACCATATTGTGAACCATGCTTATCTTGTTTAAAATTAATTATTATAATTTTTATTTTATGCTAATACTTATTTTGTAGTGTCTATGTATTCAGAATGCTATAATTTCCTGCCCTTATATCACGTACTAGTGTTAGAGAATATAAATAAAAAAAACTATATGTGGGCCTTCACTGAGCTGCACTAGCTCTTGAATAGTGGTTTTAACATTGTATTAAAGCTTCTATTACAAAGTGGTCAAGAGTTCGACTTTCTCTTTCTCTTCCTTCTAATAAAAATTAAATTCTACCAGGTATAATGGCTTGCTTTATCCACATATTAAATCTAAAGAGTTTTCATTTGAGGAAGTGTAATAGAGATTGTATAAGGACTACTTATGGTACTTCATTTAACCATTTAATCTTGTGTTAAAATGGTCCTTGACAATTGGTATGTTTTGACATCTACTGAGTTATTTGGTGCGCCTTCATCTTCATCTCATTAGCTTAGATGTGAATATGCTTTCAAGATATCAATATGCATAGAGCGATACCATTTCTTCAGGTATCTCAAAACGAGGGATCCCACATCCTTGAATTTTAACATCTAAAATTATTTTATTGAATGTTAAATGTATGCTTTCTTTGGCAACTTTCAATTATTACACTCATACCGAAGCTGGGAATCTGATACCAAACTTTAAGGTATTAGTGTGGCAAACAGCTCCTTAATGATGTCTCTCACTTGAATCCCAAACCTCTGATTAAGTATTACTGTTCTTTTCTATGTGTCTTTTAATTGTCATATAGAATTTCTTTAGACATGATAAATTGACACACCATTTAGCTTAAGGATTGACCTCATGTTGTGTTTATCTGTGGAACTTTATATGTGGTGAAGGGATTTAGTAAAGTCCTAAGTATTACGAAAGTTCTTAAATTCTTTATGATCAGAAAAGTAGTTACTCTGTTCACCAAAAAAAAAGAAAGAAAAGTAGTTACTCATGAACTCAAAGTAAATGCTTTAGATGGTACAAATTACAAATGGATGTCTGAGACATCGAGGACCAAGCAATCAACATTAAGAAGCGAATATACACCAAAAGTCAGTTTATATGCCTTTCATTTGATATCTAAATTATTGATTTTTTTTTTTTTTTGGTTGAAATTTCTGTTTGCAACATAGAGATGGGACATCAATTATACTTTCAGATGATGTTGGTCAATTGTACATATTAAGCACTGGTCAGGGTGAGTCTCAAAATGATGCCCAATATGATCAGGTACATACATTGACAGCTTAACATGCGTTTCCTGTTTCTATCGTTTCTGTTCTGGTACTAATTTCGTCTACACATGATCGGCAGTTCTTCCTTGGTGATTATCGCCCCCTTATTCAAGATACCCATGGTGGTGTCCTTGACCAGGTCAGTTGGTTAATTGTGCTTTATGTTCCCCTTTTCCACTTTGGATAACCTTATAATGTCTATCTGGCTTGAGTAATGGGAATGAAAAGAAGAAGAAAGAAAGAAAGAAAGAGAAGTGGAGTTAAAGACGAAAAAGTGGTGGAAAAGCACAAGTGCTCAAAGGAAGCACTGCATTTCTAATTTTTGAGTCTCAAAATACAAGGCACTTCCTTTTATTAGGAAAGTCATGGGCTGGGCCTAGAGTGATGGGCTCAGAGTTATAATAAGCTCAATATATATACACATGATCCATAGTCTAACATGCTGTGTGATGACTGGGGAGAGTGTGAAGATGAGGTCTAGTAAATTATTTACTCTTGTACAAATTGACAGATGTTATAAATGCATTTTGAGACGAAGCATTTACTTTCCTGCGTTTTTTTGTTGAGTGATAAATTGCTATATAGAGTTTTATCCATTAAAAGGAATGTTGGGTAGAAACCTAAGGAGGCTTTTGTGTTAACTGTTTTGCTTAACTGGATTCTCTGTGGAGCCTTCCTGATGATGGCTTGTTTTTAATTCAACATCACGTATCATGCTTCGAAACGTAAAATTTCTCTCAGGAAACTCAGCTTGTTCCATATCGACGGAATTTGCAAGATCTGCTATGTGATTCAGGTTTCTATCTTTTTTCTTGGCTCTCTCCTTTATATGTATATACTTTGCAGTATATTATCTATATTTCTTCTACCTCTCACTTTTACATGTGTTGGTCACGTGCTGTCAAAATTTTCAGCTATGATACCATACCCTGAACCCTATCAGAGTGAATATCAGCGAAGACGTTTAGGAGCTTTAGGCATCGAGTGGCGCCCTTCATCACTGAGGCTTGCTGTTGGTCCTGACTTTAGTCTGGACCCAGAATATCAGATGTTTCCATTGGCGGACTTGGACATGCTAGCAGAACCATTGCCTGAATTTGCAGATGCCATCGATTGGGAACCGGAAAATGAAGTGCATAGTGATGACACGGATTCAGAGTATAATGTCACAGAAGATTCCTCTTCTGGGGGCGAGAAAGAATGTTCAAGTTCCAATGCCTCTGGTGATCCAGTTTGCACTATAGATGATAGTGAGGGGGAGGGGACTCACATGGATGGCAACCGTAGATTAAAAAGGAAAAAACAGAAGACTGAAGTAAGTATCTGGGAAGAGAATTTTGATTTACTGTTCTTTATTAACATCGCAATTATTTTGAATTACTCTCATTTTCTTTTCTTCAGACTGAGATTATGACTTCTTCTGGGAGACGTGTGAAAAGGAGGAATTTGGATGAGTGTGATGATAATGCCTTGAGGAACAATCGAAGCAGGAAAGGAAAAAGTGGCCGAAAAGCATCAAGTAGGAGATCATCTAAATCAAAATCTTCAAGGCCTCGAAGAGCTGCTGCACGCAATGCTCTGCATTTATTTTCTAAAATTACAGGTACATCAACCGATGGAGAAGAAGATAGTTTTGATGGTGATTTTTCAGGTAGTGAATCATCATTGCTAGAGTCTGAAAGTGATGAGTCTGGTAGAGATTTGCATAATGATCAGCAAAGATATTTGAAGGGGAAGGAGGTATCAATGGACGTATCTGAGGACATGAAATCAGATGAACTTATTGAGACTCGTCCTAATGCAGTGAACAGGAGGAGATTGGTTCTTAAGTTCCCAGTTCGAGATTCTAAATCTGTGCTTGAGACCACTGAGCATAAGTTTGACAATCAAGCTGAGTTGGTTGCCTCATCATCAAAGTCTGCTCAGCAAGCTACTGATGTTAATAGTGACCGATCATGTTCCAAGGATCTTGTGTATAATTCTGGCAGCGTAAATCATCATAAAATTGAAAGGGGTCAAGTTAACTTAGATCATATAGAAGATACCGTAGACTTGTTTGATGGCTATATGAAAGGAAAAATTCGATGGGGAATGGTTAGGGCTCGTACGTCTAGGTGTTCAAGAGTGGGAGGTGCGTCATCAGATGCAAATGCCAGATCTATTATTTGTCTCAATGATAAACAAAATTTTGTCAATGATCATGAGAAAGAGGACAAGGATTTTAGTATGCTGTCCCCTCCTTTGGAAATCCAAAAAGATGAGGAAAAGATGGATAATTTGACTGTAATCAATGAGAATTGTGTTGCGACTGCCTCAGAGCCTCATAATACTTCTGAGAATGAAAACTGGCCCTTAGCTTCTAGCAATTACAGGGATAAAGATGAAGCTCTAACATCTGGCATGGATGCTCATCATACAACTGTTGGTTCTATCAACCGCAGCAGTGGGCCTGATCATCTCCCGGAACCATATATTGGTTTTCCATCCGTTTCAACAAAGGTAAGATCTAAAAGGAGTTCAAGGGACCTTGGAAGTCCAGCGAAGAATGAAACAAAATCTTTAGTGCCAAGGAGTGGTTGCTCTGGTTCAACAGTAAATGATTTGAACGAGGAACCGGATGTAGTTTTGGCTGCAGATGACAGCGGTATAGCAAAATCAAACCAAGGAGATAATGGAGGTCAAGAGATAAATGCACAGATTGGCAAAAATTTTACATCACATGATTCACTAGAGCCCCAGGCACATAGAGATAAAATGTATAAAGCTGTTTATAGAAGATCAAGATCGAATAGGGCTATGACTAATGCAGGTGATGGTAGTGGCCCTGGAGAATCTGCTTCAAATGGGAGTAATGTTAATCTCAATCTGGAAGTGGACCGCAACAATGGAACAAATGAACCAGCTCATACGGCTTGGTCCTTAGATGTGGAACCAGCTACTTCTGACCCAAAAAATGGATTGAATAATTTCAAAAATCATCAAGTTCATGAATATTGTACTATTAGAAGTCCCCAGAATGGTTCCTCAAACAGAGGACAACCAACAGAAGAGCAAGGTTCTAGTTCAAAAATCACAGTTGGATTGAGATCCACCAGGAATCGGAGGGTTAGTTATCATCACATCCATGAGAGTAGTCCTCCAATTAGAAAAAAGGCATCTCAGTCAACAACTAAAGGATCGTGGTTATTGTTGTCAACACATGAGGAAGGGTGCAGATATATCCCCCAACAGGCAGATGAAGTTGTATATCTGAGACAGGTTAGTCATTTATATTATAACTCTTGCCTTTGATAGCTTTATCTTTAGAATAAATACAGTCGGATTTCTGCTTTTGACAGTTTTATGAGCTTTAATTGTGATGTACCATTTGCAAATATTCATTTCACAGGGGCACCAGGAGTATATAGAATATAGTGGTGCGAGAGAATCAGGCCCGTGGATATCATTGAAGGGACAAGTAAGAGCTGTAGAATACTGCAGAGTTCAAAGCCTTGAGTACTCTACAGTCCCGGGGTCTGGCGATAGCTGCTGCAAAATGACCCTTCAGTTTGTAGATCCTGCTTCAAGCGTGGCTGGCAAATCTTTTAAGTTGTCCCTACCTGAAGTGACTGGTTTTCCAGATTTTCTTGTTGAAAGAACTAGGTTTGATGCTGCAATGGCAAGAAATTGGACACACAGGGATAAATGTAGGGTTTGGTGGAAAAATGAGGGTGACTTTGATGGGAGTTGGTGGGATGGTCGTATTCTGTGTGTTAAGCCCAAGTCTTCTGAATTTCCCGACAGTCCATGGGAGAGGTATAGCATTCGATACAAGAATGACCCCATGGAAACACATTTACATAGCCCTTGGGAGCTCTTTGATGCTGATACTGAATGGGAACAACCTCATATTGATGATTCAAGGCGAAGTAGGCTTTTATCTGCCTTTGAAAAATTGCTGCAGTCAGGCCACAGAGATCAGGTACTGGGTTTAAAGTTCTTTATGCTAGGGTTTGGATACTTCTGGGATGCAAGAATGCAAGTATTCATCTTTTTGTTTTTTCCTTTTTGTTATGAATATCTAGGATCGATATGGGGTTCGAGAACTGAACAAAGTTTCAAATAAGTCAAAATTTATAAACAGGTATATTCATCTTACCTTTTAAAACCAGACTTAGTTTATCAACATTTTTACTCAAACATCTCTGGAAAAATTGCAGGTTTCCTGTTCCTCTCACCCTTGAGTTGATACACTCAAGGTTGGAGAACAATTACTACCGGACTTTAGAGGCACTTGAGCATGATGTGACAGTTCTTCTGTCTAATGCTTCTTCTTTCTTTGAAAAGGATGCAGAGCTCTCAGCAAAAATAAGGCGCCTATCAGAATGGTTTACACGGACATTTTCATCTCTATAGCCCTTAGGTTGCGACGGAGGTTGACCAGCATTGAGGCTGAAGCAGGCCCAGCTGTTCATTTCCTGCATGTATTTTTGTAGATAGATTATTTATGGTACCTTCGGATTAGTTTTTTTTTTTTCTTTTCCCCTTTTTCTTTTTCAATTTTTTTTCTAGCATTGGCGGAATTCTCTGGTGGTAGAGATAGGGAGCAACATGAGGAAAAAGTAGCAGTTTGCTGGGGAAAATTTCTGCAGCGAAATTCATTGTTGTACAGAAACATCATTGATTACAAATGAAAAAATTAACATGAGGAAATTCTGGTCCTTATTTCCAGACTGGGGCAATTTGCAAAGCTATTTTTTCAAATTTTGATAGCTTACCACTGTTTAAATCCATTCTCTTGCTTTGCAGCATCAGAGTTGTCCTTCAACATTGCGTGGTCATACGTTGTGTGTGTTATTGTTTGGAATCTGTATCGCGCTCTGCGTCTTGTCAGCAAGAGGAAGGAAAACAACTTGGATTTCAGTTCCATTTAATGACCTTTTTTTCTATTTTTTACTTGATATTTCAGCTTGAAATTTCATTCCTGATCATTTTAGCCATTTATTAAAAAATAATTATTTTTAAATACTCAAGATAACTTTTAATGATCACTTTAATTTGCAACTTTAAGTTGAATATTATTTTGTTTCGAATTGGGGGAAATTCGCCTTAACGGTGGACGATGGAATATAAATCTTCCCACGCAGTGTCTAAGAGGGCCCTCGTACCATCCGGCGGAACACACACAGTGGGAATGCACCGTGCCGTATTGTACGATGTTTGGTTGTGTATTTTTTATCCATGTCGTTGGTTGTAACGTATAATGCATTATACTATCATGCATATTATTAATAATTGTTTAATTTAATATATAAATGAGTCAATTATTTATTAGAAGACTTCTCTTTCACATGCATAGACACCTCATTTGAAGAGAAGAGGGCCAAAAGAGGAGCAGCTCTATACAGCACATTGTAAGATTCGACCTCAAACAATAGAAGTGTACTATCCAAGTGCTCTTTCTGGACACCATCGACCTCAAATTATTAATTTGAAATGTAGGATTTACTAAATGGAAAAGACCGACCTTTCCCCTTCCAGGTAGAATTTACAATACACGGAGACTATATTCTTGAAGGATTTGATTCAAATTCAATAATGAAACACTGCATCATCTGGTGGTAAACAATATAGATGCTTACACATACGCACCTATAAAACCTGATAAATGTACGACATTTGAATCACCCACAAGTATGTTTGAGATTCCTTTTGAGAAGCCCCATATGGACTTTCCCAAATAGACTCCCAAACATGCGCGCATCACCTTCAACAACCATCCTCAACTGCTTAAGCATCTCACAAGTCACAAGGCAGACAGCAATTAAAAACAGTGAGAATTGAGAAAAATCAAATCTAGCTTCTTAAAATCTTTTAAGGATCTTACAATCACAAGGCAGAAAGCAACAAAAATTAATCAACAGGAAAGCTAAAATCTAACTTCTGGTCAACTTCAAGATAACATGATTTAAGATCCTAAAACAAGCCAGAATAGAAAATCAGCGTACGTATTTACCCAAACCACCACAAGCAGATTATTTTAGTTTTGGGAGAGAAGTGAATATAATCCAGGAGGCATCATGATCCAGATTATCACCAGGGCTATTCCACATGCTCATATTCTCAAACATCTTCAGCGCCTTCTACCATGTCTGCGCTTTCTCCTGCTCCTTCTATCACCAGAATCTGAATCAGAATCTGACTCAGAATCAGAAGATTCAGATGATGTGCTGTACCTTCTTCTCCTTCCCCTCTTCTGCAGCTTCTTCTTCCTCCTTCGCCTCCTTTCTTCCTCTGAATCAGATGATGAGCTATAACCAGAACTACTTTCTGAAGTATAATCTGACCCTGTAACTGATGATGACTCACTATCAGTCTCAAAAACTGAATCCTCACTACCACTATCAGAATCAGAGTCTGACCGATGCTTTCTTTTGCTTTTCTTGGAAGTAGAACTCTTTCCAATCTTTTCCTCCTTATTAACAGGATTATCATCCAAATCATAGGTCACAGAAACATTCACCCTCAATTTAGGATTTTTGAGCTGCTGCGTCCTTGATGGTCGTGAGATGTAAACCCGCTCATTCTTACATTCATATGTCCAGTGACCACTTTGGAAACACTTTTGGCATTGTGCTGTACTACCAACGGTTGACATGGTGGATTTAAGGTCTTTTCTTTCACCCAATTTAACAGCTTTCTCAGTACTCATCAAATACATTTGCCTCTTTGCTTCTCTTTTCTCCTGCCATCTGCTAGGTCCTTCTTCCTTTTGACCATAAGCGTTCACATTCCTGGCTGCTGCAGCTGCAGCACGTTCAGCCTGAGCACGACTAAGACCCTTAGCAGCACTCAAGGCCGCAGCCTTGATTCTTTCAGCTGCAGCCTGAGCTTTCTCTTCCTTCTTACTCGACATCTTCTATGCCCTTATGTGTATCACAAAGGACAACTGTATCAAAGTTCACTGCAAACTAAGTTGAAATATATTCAAAACCAATCCTCAAACCAGCAATTTTATACCAGTTCAATCATTCAAATATACAAATTCTCAAATGTCTGACATAACAAATCAAACAAAATTTAAAAGATAAAATCCCCAGGGTGAGGTATAGCGCTTGAACTAGTAGTGCAGAAAAGTTTCCAAAAGTCAGTTAATCACATTAGCACGACAACTAGATTCCAAAACCCCATTCACAATAACCATCTAAGAGTTTCACAACCCAAACCTTAAGTATGCCAGAGGCAGTGGATCATATAGATAGTTTAGTCTCTTCTCCAAGCATTTACGTAGAGGCCATAGTTGACACTTGAATTGGATAATTATATAATTTATAAATAATGCAATCAATATTACGAGCTAATTTACTCGTCAACTTCACCCAATTTATGAAAACAATCAAATAATGAGATTATATTGCTACTTTATTATTCCCGTTATCATTCCTCTCGTATTCTCTTTAACTACCCCAAAATTAACCGCCCTGGATATTCTAGACAAAGACTAAAACTTTAAACAAGATATTTCAGATTATTGCCAGAAATCGAACGAGAAACAATTTGAACATCAGGAAACTAAACCAGATAAGCAAAATTCAAACTTACGAAAGTCCAGAAGCACGCAATAAACATATATAAGCATGAAAATAACAGCGGAATCATCTAATAAATATTTGAAGACCAAGATTCCAGAAAAAGGAACTGTTTCTCAAGAAGGACTTACCGGCGTAGATGATGGGACAAAAAATGCGAAAATACAAAGATCCACGAAGCAAGAGATTATATATGCAGACGCTTCAAGATCCCTTGTTGTTTCGAAGTCGGTTGCTGCGAGAAATGCCCAAAAAGTCCTCCAAGTGAAGCCGAATTACACCGGAGAAGAGGATCTGGATGACTATGGCACCGTAGGGCTAGCAAATGCACAAAAATCAGCTGTTTCGTTTGGTCACAGCCGAAAGCAGCTTCCCATCTGCCTTGAAACCTTCAATTAGGCCCTTTCCCCCCTGTCGTTGATGTTTTTACGCCAAAAAATTGAGGATAATTGAAAATAGATTATAGGGTTTCAAAGCGCAGTGTCCCAATCTACTTTGCGGTTCAGCACGTGAAAGTATTAAAGGTATAAAAAAAATATTAAGATACTATTATTTCTGATATTTAATATAAGAGTTTATTTAATTTTTATTTTAATTTTAAATATAAGATTTTAATTTATTTTATCTTTTATATTTATCTATTTTTTTATATAATAATAGTAGTTCTAGTTAATATATTTGATTATTAAGAATATTTTAAGAAAAAACAATATAAATAACTAACTTGACTAGTTTTCTTAATTTACTTAAATTAGTCAACTAGTTCTTATATTAAGAATCAGAGATAGTATAATTTCACTTTTAAACTACTATTATTTTTAAGAGTAATTATATTCTCAAAGTATTTTAAAAAAAACAATTTTAACTTTACCATTAATTTCCCAAAAATTCATTAAATAACTATACATTAAATGTCTTAAAGTACTTTTTATTATTTTTTAGGAAGATGGATGAACCTACTTTAAAATATTTGATCCACTATAAAGTATTTTAAGAGGGTGGATGCACTTGAAATAATATTTTAAAGTGTTTAGTAAATCACATAATATCGTAGAGTGCTCAATACAAATGAAAAAATAATTGAAGTGTTAGATTAATCACGAGCCTAAATTATATCGAAGAGTTGTATCGATTGGAAGAAAATAAATTGCACTTAGATTCTTTAACAGATTTTGGACAATAAATTTTATAATTAAAATTTTTATAGTAATTTTCTTTAAACTAGAATATACTACCACCAATCCCATAAGAATTAACGAATTAAGAGTAAAATAAGCACAAATACATTTAATGTTGAGACAAACACAAACTAAGTATCATAAAAAAATGAATTGACCGATTAAAAAAATTTAGATTTTATAATAAAAGATAGAGAAAGTACCTTACAAACTAATTAACTAATTTGAAAGCGAAAATATTATTTCCTTCAGTTTTTATTATAAGTTTCAAATAACTAATTTACAGATAACGAATAATCAGTTAAAAATAATAAATAGGCTAGAAATAGACTTTTGGTTCTAAATATACTTTTATTATGAATGAGAAAAAGAATGAAAGAAAATATGATAAGAGAGAAATAATTAAGGATAACATTAGAAAAATGCATTAAATGTTAAGATAAATCCAAATTGAAATTTATAAAATAGACAACACTTATTTTCAAATTTGAAGCTTATAAATAGGACCGAAAGGAATAAAACATACCACTTCTTATTCTTAATATAAGAGCTAATTGACTATTTTGATTATATTTAAAGAAATTTTTTAAGTTAGTTATTTATAACAAATATGTGTTGTCTTTTCTAAAATATCCTTGCTAATCATCTGTATAAGCTAAAATTACCATTTTATGAAACTTTTAATATGTACAACCCATACAAATGCTATTTTAAAAAAATAGATAAATACGAAAGACAAAATAAATTAAGATCTTATATTTAAGATTAAACTGAAAATGAAACTAATTCTTATATTAAAGATTGGAAATAGCAATGCATAACTCAAATGTAGATTAAGTAGAATGCATATGATCTTCATCACATCAAGGGGAGGTTCCATGCCAATATCATTGTTTACTTACAAACAGGATAGCGAACCTTGCTCCCTAGAACAAAAGGGTATTATAAATCCGTTTGGATTAGTCATAAAAAAAATAACTTATTTTTAATTTAACTTTTAGAAAGTGGGCTTGGGTAAAAGTTAGATTGGGTTATATGATTTGTGTTTGGATTGACTTTTATAAAAATTAGTTTGTAAAGTAAAAAATTTGTTTGGGTTATAATTGAATAAATAAATTTACTTTGTCGAATGACAAAATAGATATAAATTTTATTAAATAATAAAAAATGATTAAAAATATGAATTTACAAAATATAATAATTTTAAATTATTATTATAATAGGAAGAAATTATATTTAACAAATAAAATATATTTAAATTAGAAACCATAGTAATGTGAAAATTTTTTAACCAAATAATATTACAAAATTAACTAGATGATATATTTTGCATAATTTATGTAAATATGAAATTAAAAAATAATATTAAAATTAAAAATATTATAAAAATCATTAAAAATTATTTTCACTTAAGAGAATATTAAAATTAAATAAATAAAAACCGATTGAGAAGCATAAAAAATATCTAGAAAGAAGTATAAGAACAATATAAATATAAAGGCAAAAATGTCTCTTAATTTCAAAATGCTATTTTTGCATAAGTTATTAATAAGTTTTAAGTGCTTTTGCAATCGTGCTTAAAAAAGCAACTTTTGACGCATAAGTCAAATTGGCCAAAAGTTGTGACAAACAGCTTTTAAATTTACAAATAACTTATTACACTCATAAGCTATTTTTTACCTTCCAAAATGCCTTACCAAAGTAGAACTAGTAATGCGGGCTGGCGGTGCAGATACGGGCCAGCCCACAGCAGTACGGGCCGAAAGCTTCAGCCCGCACCTTGGCAGGCCCACTAAATTTTTTTAAAAAAAATTATTATTATTTGTATAGATTGAGTTTAGTTTTTAATGTTAAAATTAGATTTGAAGTTTTAAACTTGAGTAGTGAGTTATAATAAAATAATTCAAGGATTAATTTATAATTTGAGAAGATATTTTAAAAAAACCAACACATATTTTTTCTAAATAATTAATTTGATTATTTTTCTTATCCAAATTAATTAAGTAGATCTTTTATGTGTATATTACGTATGCAATTACATGGATGAAGAGATGTAAATGTGAAATTTGAGGGTCAAAATCCTCCAATTATGTTGTATAATATATTGAGAACTGTATAAAAATTAAAATTAAAAAAAAAGCAAGGGTGCTGAAAAGGGTGCGGGCTGGAGTAGCCCGCACCTTGGTAGGTTGGCATTTTGCCAACCTGAGCCCGTCATTTTTGACGGGTTGGCCCAACCCATATTATCAGCTTATACCAAAGAGGCTGCATATCTCCTATCCGACTCATGGGCACCCGTCACCAAAGTGAGCAAAAACATGTTAATGAAGGAAATTACGAATTAGAACATTATTACATGACAAAAACTTCATATTACCACGAGGTCAAAAACATGTTAACTATGCAAATTACGAATCAGAACATTATTACATGACAAGATTTCGGTTATTTCTCCAATTTATAATAATTTTTTTCTAAAATATCCTTATTGATTATAAAAAATTCCTACCAAGAAATAGTTCCAATTTACTGTCTCCATTCTTTAATATAAGAGCTAATTTGATATTCAATTTGGTTCTAGATACAAAATTTCAATTTATTTTGTCTATCATATTTATCTATTTTTTCTCAAAGTAGTTTTTATAATAGTGGCACGTGTAGATTTCATCAAATGATACTTATAGGTAATACATATTATTAGCAACGTTGTTTTGAGAAAGACAACATCTATTTATTATAAATAAGGGAAGACAATATTTATTTATTACAAATAACTAACTTAACTAATTTTTTTAATCTACTCAAATTAGTCAACTAGCTCTTACATTAAGTAACGGGCATGTCGTACTTGATTAAAAAGCCTGGTTTAAGAAAAACACACAATTTTTTACTGTTCACTAATTTTCTTATTTTTTCTAAACTAATTATCTAACTTTCATATTAAGTAGTAATAAAAACATCAACTAATGCAGTTATAAGTAACCAAGTTATTATCCTATTCATGAACACACAAGGTATTTAAGAATTAATGACAAATTCAATGGGTCACCTCCTGCCCCGCCAATCATCCTAAAGTAGAGGTGGTAATGCAGGTTGGCGGTACGGATACGGGCCAGCCCGTGGCAGTGCGGGCTGGCAAAACTGTCAAGGCGGGTTGGCTCGCCTACATATTCTTTTTTTAAATAAAAACTATTATTATTAATATAGGTTGAGCTTAATTTAAAATGTTAAAATTAGACTTTGAATCTTGAATTTGAATAGTGAGTTATGATAAAATAAAATGAAGATTAATTTATAATTTAAGAATATATTTTTTATAAATAATTAATTTAACTAGTTTTTTTATTCAAAGTAATTTAGTTTTTTTATCCAAATTAATTAAGTAGATATTTTATGTATAAATGTATAAGTATCACATGTTTATTTAATTTTATAAAGGCTTTTATAGTGACACAACAAATAAATGAAAAATAAAAGATGGACGATGATCTTCGTATAACTACACACAGGATCAAAAATATATAAAGTGTTTAATTACTTATGCAATGATATGAAAGAAGCAATGTTTAATTGTTCATGTGGAATTTGAGGATCAAAATATTTTAACTATATTAGGAATTATATGAAAAAGTTAAATAAAAAAAAGCGGGTCATCCCGTGACAGAACGGGTTCAAAACGGTGTGGGTTGGAATAGCCTGCACCTTGACGGGCTGGCATATTGCCAACCCAAACCCGCTTTTTTTAGCAGGCTGGCGGGCTGGGCCTACCAGCTATATCCTAAAGTCCATTTAGTGACGCAGGCCACTGACACAAACCATGACCAACAACCACTTGTAATACTCGCGGTGGGGAAAGTATTTTATAAAAGAAAAGAGACGACAACTGTTGAGAAGGAAACTAAGCACATGAGAAGTATCTCGTAATCTAATAACATTGATATTTTCTTATAAGTGGAAGGTTGCAAGTTTGATCGTACTCTTAATTGTTAGTACTAACTCCTTTAATTTTATTTTTTTTTAAAGAGAAACTAAGCACATGAACACGTCTTACAAAACAAATAAGAAATTGTACCAGAGGTGCACGTCTTTTACTCTCTTCATTTTTATTGGCAATCAACGACAGTAAGATGATTCTTGTTGTGAATATTCTTCTTCCAGCCTCGGTTGACGACAACTCATAAGGAAAATGGAGTCTGCTAATGAAGCTCGATTTGTGCCAAATGAAAATTATGTG